CAAAAGTAGCTTTCTCATGCGCAGATTCTTCTATATTAAAGGGTCTCTAGTGCAGATTATTCAAGTATTATATGACTCTATTCTAAAATAAAGATATTTCTGTTAAAAGAAATCATGTGCTAACTTTTTATTAATAAAACAAGTAGTATATTTTCCAGATGTTCACATTAATGTTTCCTTGTAATTCTAATAGCGCATTGCTAGAGCTATTGCAGAGAACGAAACGTATTTTCCCAATAGGTTTTCACAATTGCGTACGTCTACATTTTTTTTTGCAGTAACAACCCCACTCCTACGTCACGACTACGACAATTACATCTCGTCCTGTTTCGTTCTCTACCCTTAGAATAGCCCTTAGAATTGAAAAATGTAACGTAACAATATTCAATAATACATTATAACGTAATATAATGATACATAATTAATTAATGTAATTATTATCATATTTCAGGTGCTTCTCGACATTCCCCCTGCGCATACATTTGGCATCAGGCATTCACCCTATATTTGTAATTTGAAGGATGCAGTTTGTTAATTCAGCAATTAGTAATAATTAGTAATTTATCAACTAAACATAGTCTTTTCCATTATTTGACAGAATCAATTAACAAATTTTAACAATCAAGTTTGTTTTTTTTTTCTTTTTATTTCTTTGCTGTATTAATTATTATTAATTCTGTAGAAAAATGTTGATAGAATAAAAAAATATATGCTTATAATTAGATATAATTATCTTTTATAATTATGCTACACAACAAAAAATTTAAATATATATGAGTTAAATATATATCGTACACTGAAATTACAAATAAATCTAAGATAATACAATATATACATAGTATGAACATTTCGATATTATTTACTTGTGTAGCAGTTAATTTGTCATATATCAACTAATATAAAAAAACTTTGTGCAATATAATACGTAATAAAGGAGGATGTTAAGGTTTGTTTGTTTCTTTGCTAAAAAATTTCGAAATATATAAATTATAATATTATGTTATTGTAATATAAACATGATAATTATATATCATATTAAAAACTTAAAACGGAATGGTATTATGTAACATCGTGTATGAACGTAGAAAAAATTAAAAACAAATTTAAAAAACAATCAAGTACAATATAACGCTCATCAATTGCTCAAAAATTTTTTTATAAATTATACGTGTTTAACAACAGTTCTTATTGCTTAATGCCCAGAATGTTTTAATATTTTAATTACAATTTTTTATCAATAAATATAATAACATTAAATTTAGTAAATTTTGTCACGATTTTTTTCGATATTTTCAATAGTTCTATTCTTTTTTTTAGCAGAATTTCTTGCACGATTCATTTCCTCTTTTTTTCTCTATGTTGAAAAAAAAAAAAACAAGAAATTCATCTACAAAGAACATAAAATATTTTCTCTTACAATAAGCGATACACTCAATTTGTAATGGCCCTTTTTTCTTCAAATAACCTTAATATAATATTTAATTTAATATTTTGAAACTTTTTTATTTTAGCTAAAAAATAGACAAAACTTAACATCATCCTTTGTATATATAAATATGCATTAACCCTATCTATGAACCGCTGTTTTTCACTAACGTCATGACTCGTCTTTTTTTATGTCAGCACCACATTTCTTCTAATAAATTAGTTGTGAAAAAAAAGAAAAAATTTATTATTTTACATTTCTCTACTATAATATATTGTCAACTTTTTTGAACTCAAATATTACGTTGTTCTTCAAATATTGTGTTGTACAGCAAAATGCAAAGGGAAAACATAGAAATTTTTTAATTGTTGAAAAGAAAACATAATTTTTCAATGAGTTGATAGAAAAACCTACCTAGATTCACGCTGAGGAATTCCTCAAGGAAAAAAAAAAATAGTTTAGAGATGCTCGTTGAAAAAATCCTAATTATTTTGAGAAATGAAAATTGTTTTTTTTAAACACCAAACCAAAGCGATTTTTTGAAAAAAAAAAAAAAAAAACAAATTTAGTTTTTAGTCAGAAAATTATTCATTTTATGTTTATTATTCATTCTATGTACAAAAAAATGAAATAACACATTAATACAAAGAAATTTTATATTGAAAAAATATGATGAAAAAATTTTTTGAAGAAGAAGATTCAAAAGAATTGTCTTCATCGATACTTTGTACGGGGGTAATTTCCTACGTAAATTTATCAATATTAACCACACGGTCAATAATACACTGTCAATATTGTACTGATCATATTATTGATTGTGTAGGATCACCTTTAGAAACTCGTAAAAGAGTGTATATTTACATTCAAAATGAACAGATTATTCATTTCAACAGAAAATGCTTTACAACTCTGAAATGGTTTTTAGAATATTACTTATTAAGACCTTTCGATTTGTTTTCACAAGTACTATATATTTTTAAAGTTTGGTATCATCTTTTTTGAACACCCTGTACATACAGAATAGCAACTACAACTCTCATGAGCAAATAGAACGGACTGAGTCGAAAAGTCATCATTTTGCAATTTTCGCAAGAGTTAAAAATTAATATTTTGTAAATATTGCAAAAATTGCGAGATGGTAGAGGACTTTCGAACCTATATTCCTCTATAATTGCGCATGCACGCACGCACGCACGCACGCACGCACGCACGCACGCACGCGCACACCCCCCCCCCCACACACCACACACACACACACACACACACACATGTAACAACTTTATATCCATTTTTTATAAAATGATAAATTTATTATTTAAATAAAAAATTATGAATACAAATATATAAAAATTTCAGTATAAGTACAAAACTTTTCTGGAATAAGTGCAAGGTTTCCGAGTAGTCATATTAAATCGTGATGTCAGAAGCGAGAAATGACACATTAATTTTTCTTGCATGCCACCTATGAATAAAAACAATTTAAATAAAATAAAATGATAATATCACTTGAAAACAATTGTAAAATGGATGAAAGTTTCCTTATTTCTCTGGTAATCAATAAATAATCGTAAAAAGTAACAAAAAGCATATGAAGTGCTTTTATTCAATGCACATGTGTAACTTATTTCCACTTATACGTGCCTTTTCGACTATTTACTGACTATCAGGGAGGATAATAGTTTTTGTCTATTTTTATAAATGTTTTAAAAAAAATCTCATCATTTTCATTTTGTTTTATCCAAATTATCTTTATTTATAAATGGCACGTAATAAAAATTAACGTGTCACTTCTCGTCTCTGACGTCACGATTCAATATGGCTATGGTGTCTATTTAGAAGCCTTAAGTCTTTTTATTATAACAGTCTTTCTCATGAGCCTTTCACTATCATTTTATACAGCGTTCAATCATAAAATATATTCATTTGCTTTATACAGTAATTGATTCAGATTTATATCCGATAAAATATCTATTTACTTACATTCAAGCATCAAATTGTTTCACTTAAAAAAAAATTGCTAATATTCTTCTCATAAACACATTCTCCTGAAATCCATGTTGATAATACTTCGAGTTTCTCATCAAGTAATATGAAATCAGCATCGGCCCCAAAATTCAGAACGCCTTTGTAAAAATCGATACCGAGAGTTCTTGCGGGATGTAAAGTCGCCGCTTCCAAGGCCTCAATTACTGTGCAACCTACATCAGACAATTACATTGCTAAGTATTACTTTAAATATAATGATTTACGACTTCATTATTAATTTAATTTACCTGTAGCTTCTTTAAAATGTCTCACACATTTGGAAAGTTCGGTTATGCTACCACAGAGAGTATTTGTTTCAGCGATATATGCGCATCCTTTACGTATCTCTATTTTAAACTGTCCTAATTGATGGATTCCCTCTTCTAGACCCAACGCTGATATCGCATCAGTTACAAGCACTAGACCTACAAATGTTTATAGTTCAATTTTATTAAAATTGGAACACATTATAAAATAAGAAAGTATAGATGCATATAGTAAATAATGAACCTTCGGGATGCGTTCTATGAGCGATCCGCAATGCCGCAGGATGAGTATGAATCCCATCGGCGATTATACCAAAATGAATAATTCTTTCAGGCGGGATTTGGTCGGATGTTAACAGACCAACCAATCCTGGATCTCTATGATGAAACTATAATTGAAAAATTCTATATATAAAAGATTTCTAAAAAATATAAATCGGCTATTTAATTAAAAAAAACTACTATGAAAGAGAGAGAGAGAGAGAGAACAAAGATAATTTTTATACTATTGAATTTTATTTTAATATATATATATATTTTAATATAT